AACATATAAAATATTCTCGACCTTTCCGTAACGTATGAATTTATTGACAAGTCAATATCGTAAAGTTATATTCTCTTGATTTTTGTCAAATTAAGATATAAATATGAGGCACTAATGTGATTCCCTATTGTTCTCGCACGAACTATTATATAGACGAGGGACCAGACAATCGTATTATATGAAGTAACGAATTATCATCACGTTACCAACTTGCGTGATCGCTCGCGCGTTTCCTTCATTTCCGCGCGAGACACATTCGCGATTTTTCATCTTCTCTTTCTCCAGGTTTTTCCCGCCTACCTAGAGTGCCTTTCGCAACAGCTGAGATTAAGGCAACGGATATGTATCCGACTTTTCCACGGTACGTGTCTGACTTATTCTGAATGTGAAGACCGGCTCCACGAATAGCAGACCGGTATGAAGGAGAAGGTGAAGCGAGCGAGAAGGAGAGGCGAGGAGGAGAGAAGAATGAGGGAGAGCAACAGAAGATATCTAGGTCCGGTTTCGAGAAGTTCAAGATCCTCTCGGATACGTCTTTAAAAATTTAAGGATCGTCATGAACAATTTTTACATTAAACGAAGCGTCGCTTAACGGCCGCGGCATGCCGTCGATTTTTCGGCCGTAATTTGCGGCGCGTCTAATGGCAAATCGAGCGTAATTAACATCGAAAACGCCGTTACCGTGGTACCCGCACGACGCGCGACGGTGTGACTAATGCGAGCGCTTACGTAATTATCGCCAGGCAGTCGATCGCGATGAACTCGCGCGCTACAATCTACAATGTCGGCTGACGCGTGGTAAAAATTTGCACTCGAGTACAAGTTTCCCTTAACGGCACGTGAATGATAATACATTCGGCGTAAAGCGGTTGCGACTAATGTGCGACTACGTGGCAATACAGTTAACGTAATTAGCAGATACCATCGAGAGACCTGACCGTATTATATCTCACGCTTAGTTCGCGCGCGCGAGAGAGAGAGAGAGAGAGAGAGAGAGAGAGAGCGCCATTATTTCCGAGCATTTAATATTATCTCTGAATAATATTACCACGAAACGGTAGTCCGCGATGACTACACACAGGACGTCTTTCAAGGCCGTGGAATCACATACAACTTATTCCAGTTATAGGCAGCTAGATAAATATACAATATTTTACGAGTCTCTTCTCCAATAAGCAAGTTAAATTATACAAACTTGAAAAAAATGTCATCATGATTTCACGCATTGCTGGCTTCGAATAATGTACGCATCTACTGCCTGCTAATAAAGCCTTCCGGCATCAACGAAAACAGAGGGGATTATACATTCCTCGCAAAATTGACTATTCTAAACTATCTAGCGTCCCATAATTGATTTATCTACTTCCAAGATGAGCTCGGGGTCTAATAACTTAACTATTCGCTTGTCTGTATTCACTTATATTCATTTTCATATTCGCTTTATTTTCACCGATGGAAAATTTCAGGAATGTTGTAGAATTTATTGCTGTTGTAAAAGATTAATTCTTATTTTTTCTAAAGAACGCAATTAATATCGCAATTTGTTTATTTCCAGTTACGTTGGAATTAAGTCCATGTTTGGAGTACTTTGTGGTACACATCAGATTCTCCCTAACATTAGTAATTATTCTAAAGGGAATGTTCTTTTGTTCTGTGATTATGTGCTTGCCTATCAAAGGTTTGCTAGGGATTAAAGACCGGAATTATCGTTGGTTTCCAAATAATGTATACGATATAGCGATTGAACAAAATTTCTCGGACTCAGATGATGAAGTTTAACATCGCCGTACCCCGCGAGAATAAAACGTTAATAACTGAAGGGACACCTTCCGGCCTTCAGAGTATTGCACCCGGCAACGGATTCGATACACCTACCGAGCCGCCCACGCGTAGCTCGGAGATCTTCTCGCGACCGCCACCGAAAAATCTCCATCCGAATAATGTCACTGCTAGACGTTCGAGTTGAGGCATCGAAGAAAGTTCCCGAGATCCTGCGTGCACGCGCGCGCGCGAGATCTCGCCCACGCCAGGGCGCCATAAAAGTTGAGTTCGAATCTGCCCTCCTCAAACCGCCTCCACCATCGCACCACCATCGGCTTCACCCAGCTTCACCACCGGTGCATTCTCCTCCCTCCCTTTACCTGTACACTGCCCGGCACTGCTCATTTCTTCTGCTTCATCTCCTCTTCCTCCTCTCCTCCTCGTCGCCGTCCACCCGCGATCTTTGCCTTCTCATTCCTCTTCTCCGACTTCTCGTCTCGCCTCCGCTCGAGGGGAAAAGAGAGAGGGAGAGGAGAGAGGCTATGCGAAGTCCCTCCGCGCGGACCCGTCGCGACAAGCCGCGTCGAGGAGGTCCAAGAATGCACGGACATCACGGCATGGAAGGCGGTTGGCTGTGAGCCCCGCAAAGGGGAAGCCTTTCGAGAGGCCGGGTTTCCTCGACGAGAGCGGAGACGGAGGACCTGTGTCGAGGGGGAGGCGGGAGAGAGAGAAAAAGAGAAAGAGAAAGAGAAAGAGAGAGAGAGAGAGAGAGAGAGAGAGAGAGAGAGAGAGAGCGCCTTCACGGGGCCTCGAGGGCCACTCCGCGACCCACCGGGAGGACGAGGAGAGACGGTGGAACGGCGGGGGCCCGAAGTAGGGGCCGGGAAGTGACCGGATGGCCTTGGTCCCGAGACTTGGTTAGTTACCGCGCGGCCGACTATGCTGGCCACAGGGCGGTATCTCCGATTTCGACCGCTTTTTAAGACGACCGGACCAGGACCCGGCCGGCCGGCCAGCCGGCAGAAAGGGGGGCCCGCCTGGTCCGACAGGGGAAGTCCGAAGAGGCGACACGACGTGCCGACGAATGTGCGAGACATGCGCACACATCGTTCGAGAAGGCTGAGAACGAAGCGGCGAAGAAACGATGGGATTTTGCGAAAATCTTTTCGCTGCTCACAATTCTGATTTATATCACGATATGGCGATAGGACACGATCTTTACGACCTTTTCTCGTTTTTTTTTCTCAGGAACTTTATTATTATTAATTCTTATCCGAACGAGAATAGATTTTACACTTGTTCTTTTTTTACATGCGTTGCGAAAAAGCAATATTGTATTGAAGCGATGCAACCATTACCAATATATATTAGCTCAAAAAGAGAGAGCGTTTACAATATAATACCAATATGAGAAACTAGTTTAATTACTCTATACCCAAAATAAAAATTGGATATATATTGTTAGCCAATATTGCTGCAGTAAAGTTGTGCCAAGAGAGTTGTATTATAGGCTTGCAACTTAATTGTATTACGCGCATTGTTGCCTGAAACGAAATCTTTTGTGCGGGCTACAACTCACGCTTGTAAGGCGTAACGCAAAAACCGATTTAACAGCTTAATCGCAATTAACCGAAAAAGATCGGCATGCTTCTCACGCGCGGTATTCCATTATTCGTGCGCCGGAGCACCGCCGCCGCGCGTTCGGAGACGCGCGCGCAAGAATCGCGCGGTATTCCACGCGCGATCCATTCGAATAGCTTCGAGTAAAACTTTGTGGAAATCGGCAGGTATACGATTGCGTAAATTGCGCCGATACGGTTTGTCAGCCACGGAAATAATGGGGAACGAAACGCAACGTGTTACACACGCGCGCTCTTCCGCCCTCCGCGGCCTCCACACTCGTCGTCGATCTCGCGGAGGACGGAGGACGCCCACGTCTCGTCCCGTATAAATTAACGCAGTCGTGAAATCGCACTCGCGAGTCCTGTCCCCCCTTCCCCCCGTGTCGCCGGGAGGGACTCTTGTCTGGAATGAATAGCCCGGTTACTCGCTCACCATCGCTCATTATTGTTCAACAGGGGCAACTTATGTGTGAGAGCGCGAAAAGGTATATCTGCAACGCGTACAAAGCGATATACAGGGTGCCCTAAAGGTCGCGTGCCTTTATTCGAACCGCAGGTGGTCGAAAACGGATCGCAAGTGGAACAATGGCTCTCTCAAGGTCGAGGACTGAGGGGAAATGCAACGGAAAACGAGATTCCACAGGTATTTCCTCCGGGAAAGAAATCGATTAGGGAGCGTCGTGGAAAAATGTGTGACTTTTGATACACCCGATACATCGGCGCCCCAGCCGAACGTCTCTCTATCGAGCTAATAATTACCTCGGTGAGTTTGCGAAAGTCTCATCCGCGGTATTTCACGAGAAGGATCCCCGGGCGATTTTCGTCTATCGTTAGCGTGATCCAGGACGTCGGTAGTAGCAAACATCGTCATTAAGAACTTCGGATGCTGACGGCGCTTGATGAGAGTGTCACAGATGCGCTGTCAATTTGCGGTGGCCGAGTATAGGGGTTTGCATTAATTACAATTTCATCCAACTTCCGCGCGTCCCCAAGGCGCGGCAATCCGCGGACAACCCGGTCCAGACAGCATTTTTGATATAATGTCTAAAAGATATCCCGATAACGTCTTAATGATATCCCGATTTTTTGATATAGTGCTGTATGGGAAAGATTTTCCGGCTTGTGCATCGTCAACGCATCAAGAATACTTCGCAAGACCCAACGATGCTTTATAGGCAGCGATACTTTTTCCGCAATCGGTGGGCGACTAATGGTGGAGGATAACTCCGTCACTTATACGGTCCATAGGCGCGTCGCCGCGATCCGCAGACGCGTTTATGCAGATTACCTCCTCTCGATTTACCTCGCACTATAACGATAAATTAACGTGGTGCGGAACATCACGGGTCAAGAAACTGTTATAGGCTCCGATGCGTTTGTTCGCGATGTGTTATTATTTAGGCGTTACTGTTCATTTCCGCCTCGGGCAACCTTTCGTGCGTACCTTCTTCGTCTCCTAATCTCTACGACTATGGACGTAAACGCGACGTATTGAAAGGCTCAGCTAAAGAGCCGGCAATCTTCATTAAAGTAGAGCAAAAATGAGCAAATGGGCATTAATTACGTTGCATGAAGCGCGAACTGAAATGAAACGGAAGAGAGATCATTTTCGAGCTCATAATTTCTCAGGTATTTATTAATCCTCTGTTGCGCAGTGCAATTTTCAAATCACACGCCAGTCTTCTCTTTTTATTACCCAGACTCCTTTTTATACTTCACTTCACTTGTCGACTATTATAATTTTGAAGCTATATTATGAAAGTTTATCTCTCTTTCGTTCTTAAGGAAGTAATTATTCGTTATTTTGTTCTAATTTAATTTCCCCATCACACGTCGAATAAGTCTCTTGATCAAGCCAACAAATAATTTAGCTAATTAATCCTACTTTACTAACAATAAGATTCGGTTACCTTAGTAGCACAACTTTATTGCAACAATATTGGCTAATAATATTTTTATGTTAGGTATTAAAAACTAATTTTTTATATTGGTATTATATTGTAAAGTAGACGTTCTCTCTTTTTGAGCTAATATTGGCATGTGCATTTACATTTTATTAATAACCAATATTAGCTTTACATTGGGAAATATTGGCCAAGACATTCCCAATATTCAGCCAATATGTTGCCAATTGTGCTACCAGGTTATTGACAATTGTATGTACGTGTAACCGTTTAAGATATTATATTACGGTACATATATCTTTTGTACGTGACTTGGATCGTGCAATTTATATTCTTATGTGGAAAGTCGCCATGAAGTCGGAGGATCTGGTCACAACGTGCTCGAACTCGAGATAAGACAGAGCTCCGTCGCCGTCTATGTCGCTCTCCTCCAGAACTTTTCGACACACGGTAGCCACCTCTTCGGCACTTAGCCCACCTCGAGTCAGCTGCCGACAGGTGCGCTCCAAATCACCCAGACCCAACACCCCGTCCTCGTCGAAATCTGTTCGCGGAAAATTACAAATTGATAGATGCAATAGATGAGCGATCGTCGGAATATTGTCCCAGCGAGAGGCTGAATAAACCTCGCGGTGATTCTACCTTCGCATCGGAGAACGTTCTCTTTCACTTAAGCCTAATCATAAAATATTTGAGAGGTAGGGGGGGGGCAACGGGTAACGTGACAAAAACGCGTAATCTACGGTGAAAGAAAAAAACACCCCGCTCGCACGAGGGTACTATATAATTATGACGTTGCGCCGCGGCAAAATCGATCGGTTGTTCCGTGCAAATATTCTCGTGCATCGTGGATGTCGTGTCTGGATGCCGTATGTACTTCTCATCCCATGGAACAACTATAGGTACAGCCGAGGTCGACCTCCAGGCTCTCTCACGATCCGCTCGTCCGCCCGTCCGTCCGTCCGTTCGTCGGCCGTCCGTCTGGGTTCACCTGGTGGTCCGTACCGTAAATTTTGAAGGCGTAAAAGACTTTCAAATCCCGCGGTGCTTGTTCAGAGAACACGGACAACATCTCGAGAAATTCCTCGAAACAGATTCCTTCGGAGAGGGACGTTGATTGTCCTGAATCCTGACGTTGCGTAAAAACTTCCGAGATCCGTTCTCTAAATGGATTCTCCTAAAAAGAAAAAAAATTCCTCCTTAACAAAAACACGAGAAAATGGAAAAAAAAAATATATATATATATTTATTTTTAGCTAAAACAAAGATAAGTTTAAGAATTATTATAATATTGTGAATACTCGTTAAAATATATAATTTAAGTTGAAAAAAATCTATAATATCCAGTATAATGATATATTCATCTATAGTAGGCAGAATACGTGAAATATATACTCTAATAAAAGCGTAAAAATATTCGTATAGATTTATCTATATATATATAATAATCACAGTTACTGTAAGTACAATGTTTAACATAATTATAACATAAACTTAAATTTAAATAATTATGTAAAAGTCTATTTTTCTAAAGAATAGAAATGTATATACATGAAGTTTTTTTTACAACACATATGAAACTTATTATATCAAATTTTTATTGTTCAAAATTACTTAAAAATTTGAAATAGACCTTTAATTCAGGAATACGCGCTAAATACGACAAGGGCAAACGAAGAGACGATGCCTCTTGCGGCGTCATGGTACGTGGTATCATTCCAGGATCTCCTATTTCTCGAAATCTTTTAAATATTCTAGAAAAAAATGGAAGTTTTGAACAAAATGAGAATAAAATAAAACCATACAATCAAAAGGATATTACCTCAAGATTTCTTTGCGTGTGAAAAAGGTACAATCCTGATAATCTTCGAGTTGTTCTTCGGTGAATGTCGCCACTTTATTTCCCATCACTCTTTTATTAATTCCTTCTTTTATATGTATATTGTTACGAATGTTGGATTCTGGAATATTATTATCACTTAAGAGATAATTTTTCTATTATTTTTCCGTAGAAAGAAACAGGCGAAGATAATTAATTGTCATAGAAATTGACGAACAGTTTAAACCGGATTAAGAAAGACTGTTACATTTACGAGAAAACAGCGAGAACTGAGTTCTCACATCACTGATGTTCGATACGAAATCGTGCAATCTAATAACCAGGGTGTGTCTCGCCACTCCCATCAGCAAGGACGTTTTGATCTTAAATTTACGAGCAACTATGACCTATTTATATACCTTGTTAATTGTACAGTAAAAATTATTTTCTCTTAATTTAAACATGCGAGCTGTCTGATAATAATCCTCTATAATTAGGTCTTTTTATATGTAAAGAAAATTATACAATCAGTAAATGGAAATTATTGATTAAGTCACTAAGACTTAAAAAATGCCGATATATAGGTGTACAACTTTCAAGTACAGTACTAGATGATTAATTAAATTAATTGTATTTATACAAATGCAGAAGAATGTTATATTTTAATCTTAATCGTACAGATTAAACTTATAAGCGTTTCTATAAATCTACTACAAAAGATTTTATTGTACAAAATGAAATATTGCAAATGTAATCGTAAATTGCAATAAATATTAGAATTATCGAAATTACACAAGCAATGTGTTTTATTTACAATATAGTAATACTTTAGACATAATGATCTTCATACGCTTCTTTACAATCAGCTAAATTATGAATACATTCCATAAATTCGTCTTCCTCAAGTCCGGAATCCGTAAAAGCATGGAATTTCTTGATATTTCTTATCCTTTTGGTTTGCTCAAGTAAAGATTCGTACATTGCTGCAACATTACTGCCGCTGTGCATCCCAGCCATCACCGCAACAGAGTTTACATCTGAAAGAGAAAGCAAATGCTGTTACTTATTATTACTTAATTTGTGTTTCGTACTAATAAAAAAAAGACGCACTGGTTCCTACGGGCCAACCGGCGATATTTCCATCCTCGGTTACGTTATTATTGAAGATCTTTGGATATGGTAAGGAAATTTTCAGTGGTGCTTCAATGTTGCATAAATACGTGGCCGACGCGTGACACGTACACGCCAGATACAGCGTCATCATTTCGTGCACGCTGGAGCATTTGTATGCAGGTTTGGATATTTGTTTGCTGGCTTCATGAACGGGTCGCTTCATTCTGTCTTCGGGAATTCCTCGTAACGCTATACTTTGCATATTATTATCCATCGGTATATCGCAGCTCGGTGTCAAGCTTGTCCATAGAGATCCCTCGAATTCATCCAATACGTCTATTAAATCCATTTTCATCTTCATAGGAAACGGCAGACTCAGGCTAGTCGCCGCGGCTTTACGACCCAGCTTGTTCAGATCGGCACATAAATCGGATAAGCTGGCGCCCGAATACTTCTTGGTTCTATATCTTAAGCTCACGGTGTCTAGAGCGGTTGCCAATATCGCGCTGCTCTGATATCTTAGTTCCGGACTGTACGTTATGTTCTCGAATTTACGTGAATCGGCCGCGAATGGCCAACCGACTTGTCCACAGGAAAGGGGACTGTAAAGCGACGAATGCTCTCCGATATGTTGCCAACATAATGCTGTATTGACAACTTTAACCAAGTCCGACGCGCTGGGCTCGGCATTGTTAAAGTCAAGACATGGAAATGCCAAGATACTCTTTCCGTATTCGTCGCGTAGATGCTGAACGCAAGATGCTCCAAGACCAGCAAAGCCATCTGCAGAATCCATAAGCACCTATTTTTGCAAATATTACATTAGCAATATAATTATTTTAATAATTAATAAAAAAATTAGGTACAATACTGTATAAATTTTTTACCTGAAATCCTTGCATTAAATCACACTCCTCTACGTACGATCGTATTCTGTCCGCGAAATTGTCGGAGAATTGTTCCGTAGCCCATAAATCGCGGCCATACGTGAATATATTGAATGGTCGCTGCGTGCAATTGTGTGAATACTGTTTGATACTATGTACTGTTCTCGGATGGAACAGAGGTAAAAGATAGTCGACCCATGACTTCACGTCGCTTTCAAAGTTGTAGGTTTCTGCATCTACAGCTTTATCGAGTTCATTTAAATTTTGAATAAAAGGTGATTTAGGACTAGGCTCGGCGCTAGTAATTTCCAATTTTGTACTATCCCATAGCAGTTGATTATCTGAAGGTTTCGTATCATATAAAGAACCTTGCTCATTTAGGTAGCCTAGCGTCCCTTTTAAATCTGCTACTAATAATCTCGGGGTAAACGTAACTTGTTTCTGAAACACAACTGTGCAGTAGTAATTACTAATTTATAATATCGAAACACGTATATATATATTTATAATATAACTTTTCGAACATTCAATTATATATTTCAATTCAAACAATTCAAACAATTTATTTATAATTATATAAAGCAATTTATTAAGAAATAAATATAGTAAAATCTGAATAGCTTTCATCACTGATTTCTTTTACATTTACATATGTTATACATAAATATAATTATTGAAGCTGTTTATTAAAAAAACTGCTTTTATCCTTTTTTTATTATATTTACTGCAATATGTTTTTGAGAAAAATGTTTCGGCATTTTTTTACTTTTTAATTAAATTGTATACGTAAAAAGTAACTCTTTGAGGAAAAAAATATATAAAAGGGTTTTATATATACTTTATATATAAAAGGGTTTTATATATACTTTATATGGGCGTCACTTCCAATTGAAGTTAGCGCCAATGGCCTTGACTTTCTGACATATGTTGTTGAGATAATGGTTCTATTCATGTACAATTCGTTTCATTTCGTATACAATTCATTACATTAAAATTATTCCACATGGATCTCCAACTTTTCAGCAAAGTGAGTCCATTTCATAATGCCTTGTGCTTGTAGTGCACAACAAGGTTTATTATTGTAGCCTACATTTTCTACTTTTCACACAAACCGTACAACGATAGACTTTTGTTTCGGACTGCAAGCACTGGGCAATGTGGAGTAGACCTTGCTTGATATGGAAAGTTGGAAATCCATGTGGAATCTTGCAATAATAGACCACGTTTCACACCACAAGTATAGGGCGATATGGGGTGGATTTCGCTTTACGTAGAAATTTGGAAACTTATGTGAAACATATTAAGAGTAATCTGTACTTTCAATTTGAAGAAAATTGGAAGTGACACCTGTATAATGAATAAAGCCTGATATAAAATTTCTGACCACATATTAATTAAAATATAATCCAGAATTCTTGCAATTCTAGCTTGGGGAAAAAATTGCTACACAAATTATGTCTCTTAGATAGTTGCAATATTTTTGCTGCCTATCTGTAGAAGCAGCAACACATATTCAAAACAAACTTCATTTTCACAATTACACTTACTCGCGAGTTTTCACCTTCTTTGTACAGTACATTATGGTTCACCTCGGACGGATTCTTCGGGTCATATGTGAAGTTAGACTCCTGCGAAACAAGATTATCTTGTGATGTATTACAATGATCTTTAGATACAGAGAGACACGTCAAGACTTATCAACAAAATATAGCCATCGATACCTGTAGATTCCACCAATGTGCACCAATAAAATTCGAATAATGGCCTAATTGAATGGTCAAGATCTCTCGTGTTGTCATATTTGTCGAATTTATATATTGCTCTCTGCAGAACGATATATGACTCGACCAAGCGTGAACGGATCCTTGTTTACCTGTTTTCGATTGATTGGTAGAGGACGTAGAGGTTAAGTTAAGGCACAGTATAAAATGTCTAACGGCGCGATTCCATTCCATTACGGAACACGAGCGTCCCGTTTGACCACAGCCACTCACAGCCCCCGGTGCCTGGAGTTTTTCCACTGGACCAGCCAATCAGATATTTTTACTTTAAATCAGCCAATTGACGATGTGGTCAATTGAGTCCCGCCACTCAATCGAGTTCATCTTTTCTCTTTTTCTCTCCAACGTGAAAAGAAAAAGAGAAAAGATGACGTGTGCAAGAAGTTCAGCTAAAAACAGATTCTTAGCTGAAATTTCATGCGAGCGAAGAAAAGCCAGCGTTTATCCCCACTCCACCTCACTGTAAAGCCAGCGTAGAACAGCTAACGCTATCGCCCCTATCATTTTCATGGAGCGAAGAAAAGCTGGCGTTTATCCCCACTCCACCTCACTGTAAAGCCAGCGTAGAACAGCTAAACAAGAATTGTGTATAATAAAAATAAAGTACTCCAATTATTATATACAGTACATCGCGTACGTTGAATATTATAGACGTACATACAGTGGTAGCTGCAGTTGCAGCAGAGGTTGTAAGGAGACGACGCATAGCCGCTACAGCTGCAGCTATATATTTAATGAAAAAAAAAGAAGATACGCGAAGAAAAGGCCGCAACAAAAAATATTAAAAAATATTAAAAAATAATATTAAAAAATAATATTAAAAAATATTTGGATTCATTGTTTTTGCTAGGGCACCTTCGTTTCATGAAAGCTTAATTACGAAAACATGTGACGTCGAAAATCGAAAGCAGCGATAAATGGTGACTTCTGACATTTCCACTAAATAAAAATCAATTTTAGATTAGTCGGACTATCAAAGTCACAAGTTGTGGAACGCTCTATATTTAGCACTAATAAAAAATATATGTGCGTATTATAGTCCTGGCAACTACAATTCGACAACGCACATTTTAGTTTTGCTCTTACGCAATCGAGAATCGCGTTTTACGTGTCATTACGATCTGTTTAAACATTCAGGTATATCGGATGTGAAGTATAAGTTTAACTTTGCGTGAAGCCACTTAAGGGGATCCTAAAGCCGTCTGTAATACCGGCTTTTTTTCTTAGCACTAATTTTTTAATTGACTTTATAGAAATGCAAAATTCTTGTTTAGAATTAAAGTACGCATCAAAATCTAGGTCATGGTGGTCAAATTTATATCGAAAACGAAAAAAAATTAATATTTTTGTTAATTTTTGGTATACGTGACGACAATATTTGCTTTGTACAAAAATTCCACGATAAATATCCACAAAATTAGACCGGCATGACCTATAAGAACAATATCGTGCAATTAGATCTAAGATTGAAAACCTAGAAAAAAAGATTACTTTATATAACTTTTATATGTGCAAAAGCACATTCAGGTTGACAGGATAAGCAATATTGCGTGTGGCAAAAGATGGCGCAGTAATCGAACAAAGACAGATGCCTCTCGTTAGACAAGGACAGATATAGATATATGACAAGAAAACAGAATTAGAAATGTTGACATTATCGACGTCGAGGAAGTTCAGCCTTCACTTTAGGATCCCCTTAACTTCTTTTCGTAAAACATTAAGTCAGTTTTTCCCCATATAGGTCATTCATCTTTAATTCAAGGTATCATAAATAAACTCTCGCACGTTATAAAACTATATATAAACTGTATAAAATATAACTTATGATCGTCAATATTATTATCGTTACAATTTTAAATGAAGAAATAGGATAAAGTTATTAGGAATACTGATGGGTTTTCTCATCGTATATTTTCGAAAGTTTCAGAAGATTGAAAACAATGCAACTTATATGTTTTATAGATAAGATAAAACCATAATTTTCAAAGCCTGAATCGTAGTGCACGATTATAGCGCATCTCGAAGTATTAAAATCTTATATTTTTTGCGCAGGAGCATAAAATAATTATGACGCTTCTTCTTTTGATGTGAATAGAACACAGGTGAAAATGTTGCTGGAGGGCGCGAAGGCACTAACAAGTTTTCAATTACACACGAACAGCAGTATATGTATATGTTCAATGTTTATTTCTCTCTGTAAAACATCGTTGGTACATCGATAAATGGTACACCAATTGCATTAATTTGCATTGTTTATGTTAGATCTAGAAAACGAAGGAAGTTGTCATGAGGCACAATTCGAGTCTTGCACCCGATATTCTTTTCGATCTGTGGAGGATCGGCGATACCGACCAAATGATGCAATTATATCACTTATCACTCTATCAAAAAGAGCTTTTACGATATTGTAACAAAATAACAAATAGATTACATCTAAATTAATTAGTAATAATAGTATGCGTAGTACTGTGGCTCCTTCAACCCTTCACTCCTTCTTTCGTGTGTCTCTGCAACATAATAACAGCGCGATAAGATAAATTGTATTGTTTCTAACGCCTATGTTACCTCGATTGAATTTACATAGTTAACGCCGTGTTGGCGTTAATTACCATAGCGCAGCTCACGAGTATTACCGCGATTATGGTTTGAAACGTGCACACTTACCGCAAGTTGTTCCTTCTCCTTGCGTCCCACGATCTTACAACGAGGCTGTTTAATTCCGTGAAATTGGTTGCAAACGCAATCTTGTTCAATTTCGACACTCGTGAGGTCCTCGACGATCTTTCTAGCGGTAACTTGAGAGAACTGCCTCTTCTGATTCGGTTTAGCGTCCACCAAATTGCTGGAATTGAACGCCGCTCCGCCAGACTGCAATAACGTTACGGTGTATAATAACCGATCCGATTACTCTTCATCAATTATTCTTTATGTATTTAGGGTAATCAACTTATTCATTAATTCAAAAATTATCTCTTCAAGATGCTTAAGTTGATTCTCTTTTTTGTTTCTTTGCATACTTACCGCGATAGCAAAGTTGGCACACATGTCAACCGTAGGGAGAACCATGTTGTTTCTAAGCTCGGTGTTTCCACTCAGTGGCTTCTTCTTGTTGTCGCCGAATACATATACTCTGTCGATATCGTAACCAACAATACTCTTTTGCGCTTTGCCGGAGACCTGGATGTCATTGGTAAAGTACACGTGATAGTAAGTCAGACCCAAATCTCGGTACACCTTCTGTCCAATTATAATCCTCAATTGTTGCAACTGAAAAACCAATTTTAAATCTCTCTGTTAACGTTGATAAATGAAAAAATGAAAGTATTACGCTGTGATTCTACAGTAACGCATAACTAAGTAGGAAAGTCTTTTCCACCAATGGTTTATTTCTAGTTTTCATCAGCACCTAACTTTAATTAGCTTTTCGTTTTTGTCTGAAATTACATTTCGCGAAAGTAAGAAATATAAAATAAATAACAAATTGTAGTTGCAGTTAGGCGATATTTGTGAAATCATTCGTAAACTTGTAATACGTCCGATCCATCGACTGACTTTAATAAATAATAATTAGTAATACAACGTGATCGCGAGTGGAAACTCACCGATATTGGCAGTGGACTCTTCTTGTAGGGGGTAGCGAGGACTGAGACGACAGCCTTGACCGCGCCAGGTCTGAAGGGATAGTTAATGGCTTCCTCGTAGGCGTCGGTCAATTTGAAGGTGCCAAGCTCCAGGTCTAGTCTTTGCTCGAGGTACTTCACTTTCTTCTCGATGTACCTTTCTTGGCCTCCTGCGAACATCCCCAAGTAACTCGTATATCAAAAAGGTCAGATCTTTCTATTTTAAATCTTTCTCTTATAATTTCGTAAAATGATAAATTACCTCCAAAGTAATAATTGGCTCTTCTGGCTTCTCGAATTTCATATTCTTCACCTCGCCCTCAATGTTGGTACTACCGCCGGTGGTGTAATGTTGCAGCCATTTGAGTTTTCTACAATATAACAAATACAAATTAACACAATATAACAAATAAATTTA